AGGGAGCGTGTTCGAATATGCAGACACTTATTTTCTGAATTCTTTTTACTGTGTGGTAATTGTTTTTATAATGGGCCAAGAGCTTGCCTTAATCCAATTTCTGACTGTGCCATGATTTCAGATGGTCCACTTTGCCTTACCTCTCGATTCTGTGCTTTCATTTGTGTCTACAAATCTGCTGCTAGGATTCAATCTCGGCGTTACCGTTCGTATTCTTCTGCATCTCCTACCAACACTCTCTGAACTTCCAAACAGAGCAATGTGACAACATCCTGAACAGTTTGGTAAATATTAAACTTCTATCACATTGTCGGTGAAACAATTATGGATTGTGAATGGATTTCTTCAAATAACTCAATGATTTGTGTTCTGAATCTCCTGAATCTCTAGAGACACGTGCACTAGATATAGGGCTATTCTTCATTTTCGTGGGCGGATCTCTGAACGTCTAAAAGGGTCAAAAGATTGGTCCATGGTTCGAATCCTCGGATAAACAAAGTTTTACATTTTCAAATGCCGCTTATATGGCGTTGCAAAATGGTACCCACGACTAGTAATCAATGCCTTGTTACCATAAGGACCATCATTTATCCATGAGCAAGTTTTTATGAAAAACTTGTGACGAAAGGTGGTCCACTTGGGCTTTTCCAACCCCTTTCTTGTATTTGGAGGGCCGTTCTGGATAAATTGAACCGTTGTTCTGTGTTCCATGTATGTCCCACCTATTATGCAGAGAACCTTTTCTAAAAAGCCACGAGCTAAAAGACCTTTCCGGTTAGCCCAATGAAAAGCTGCTGTCAACCCTTCACCAACGCTCCCCTACTCAGCGGTTTCTTCGGGTGATCATGTACAATAATTTATAAAACACTTTGGCTTATAGATTAAAAGCCACTTGCAATTTAAAGGCGGAATTTTGTTCCTCACCAAATTTGTATTAGCACACCCATGCATGCATCAAATTAATAAATAAATAAACCAGTAAATAAATAAGTGATAAGTAAATAAAATATTCAGTGCGTCGACTCGGTATCGTCCTGTCTGCTGTCGGTATATTATGTGCCTCTACTGATATTCCTAGTCGTCCTGGTGGTTCTACTCGCCTTCAAATGGAAGTTGAATGCCACTCTTTCGGATTTGATCGGCACTACTATTCCACATGAGTTGATCACTGTGAGTAACTTGTTCTGTTTCAAAAAGTATCATCTCGCTCTGGTAACCTCCATCGCCCAAGGCTACGTACAGTACGCCGCTAGCGGAATTTTAGCTTTGGCGATTGTTCTTGCCTTATGAATGTGTAGCTAGTTCATTGCTGCGATGGTACTATGCGGTCTAAGCATCTGAATTGTCGAAATGCTCCCTCTGTGCACTGGTTAAGCCGTTACCTCCCTTACGTTAGCTTGAACCCTCCTCTTTCCGGTGTGCCAGATCCCTTTGAAGGTTAAGCTCCCTTTTGAGCTTAACAAATGCGACCCACTTCTTTTGTCGAACTATGTCTTCTCATTAGAATCAGTCTGTTCCCCTAGACACAGTGTATATTTTTCAGATGCTCATTGCTTTACTAGTTTCCTATTTAATCGAGATTCCGCCTTCAGTTCTATTGCCGGTTCAGGCGGAATCAATGTGAGTTTTTTATTATCTACTTATTAACCAGTGTTGGTGCCTCTTCCAGCCAGGAGCTCAAAGATGCCACGGTTGAGGGTCAATCATGAAAACACGCACTTTTCCTGTGGAGATGCACATCTCAGACTGCAATTGTAGCTTAAAGGCAAACCCCGGGGTTAAACTGGTGCTATTAGCGCTTCATGGTGATAGCTTGCTGCGGAACGACCTGAAAGTGGAAAGGAAAGCAAGAGAAGTCTTTGAGAACGCTGAAACTAAGGCCTTAACCTTCAGTAAGGTCGGATGTGGTACGATGGCGAGACAGGGCGGTCAAAGAAGACAAAATACGCGAGAGAGCACGTCGTTTGAGAGAGCACGCTGATCTCTACATCAATGCACGCTGATCTCACCACTCTCGCGGTGGGTGGGAAGCGTTGGAATGGGTCGATGGTTGCAGGCCCGTAAGGATTAGCGCCCTAACCGCGCAATTTTTGCGACGAAGCTGGAGTGATCTAGGTGGGTAATTGCTGGTGATACGCTAATGGTAAACAACGCGCTTCAAGCTGAGTTTTGAAAGAAGACGTAAACATAGACAGAAGGTCGCCGAAAAAAGGGAACTTACCACGTGGAAGACAGGAGGACGCCGCTAACGAGGTTGCGACGCAACAGCCCAATTCTGCGATCGAAAGATAGCCCCCGGCGATCTCGCATCGGTGTCTTCTTCTCAGCCGCATTGGCTCGGATACGCCTCGACTATTCTATCCTCGCGGCTAGGCTCTATTACGCTTCGAGTGATTTAATAGCAATGAGCGTGAGAGCGTTAGCGTTGACGTCAGGTCTATTCTAGCGAATTAGGTAGTCGTCATTCAGATCGCGAAATATCGAACGAGTTCACGGGATGGGGTCCATTTCTCGATTCCGGGCCGGGTATCAAGGCTAATGGTTTCATTGCTTCATGTGGCGTCTGCTTCCCTCACACCTCTACTTACTCCAGTAACTTTTCATCGCAAAATCCACCTTCAAGATGAAATGGTGAGTCGTGGCGTACTCGCGCGCACACAAAGAAAAGCTAGTGCGGGTCTGATCTCCGCCTCGGGCGGAAGTTCTGCTTATAACAACGTTCATCTGTCAAACATTATTGTTGTTATTATTTATCACAATCGATCTAGAATTCCATCGGTCACGTTGCGTTCTCTTCCGAACGCCTTCGTCGTCGTCGATGCTTTTGCAATCTTTTTGTTTATCATGACTTCTCATATGAGAGCGGTTTGTTCCCGAAATCAGCTCGCCATCAATAAAAAGCAGGTGAGCATGACACAAAGAGGATCTTCAATACATTATGCCATAAACTGTTTTCTAGGAGCTGTTCTGCACATCTATCATCTCACTACTTTCAAGTTCGTTCGGGATACTCCCTGTGGCGAGTTCCATGCATGACAGCCAAATGGATTGGGAGTCACGCAATTATTCATTGGTACATTAAGGTTTCAATGTTTAAAAGGTTTTCTAATGATGTTAAAGGATTGGTTCCACGTCGTCTCGCTTTTTGTGTGCTACATTACATTTTCTGTACCGAATGAGAAGGGCTACGAGACCTTTGTATACCATAATAGCTCAAGTACACCTAAAAAAACAGTTCCACAGCCACGCGCACTCGCAAAATCGTAATTCTTTAAGTGAAGGAGGAGGAGAAGGGGATCGGAAGAACGAGGTCGACTCATTGGGTTCTGGGGCCATTTGCAGCTGTACTCAGAAAGGGGATGGGTCCCAAAACTTTACAAATCTTTATTCCACTTGACAGCACAGTCCCCATAGCCAAGAATGGGTGTGGATGTGTTCAGTTACGCAGTTTTGGGGACCCATCTTCGGGTACTGCTGCGTACTACCCTTGATCATAGTGATTCGCCGCTTGCAACGCGCGGTTGTAAAAAACGGATAGTTGCATATGCATACCCATACTCAGTTTATAACACATGAGTATCGCTTGAAGGCATGGTCCAGGGTTAAGCATATAGAACGCCCCCTGTCTCCATCTGTCGATAGTGGAGGCTGGCGCAATCGTTTCATCGGGGCGCTTCGCTGCTGGAAAGTTGGCCATGACAGAGCTGCAGAACCTTCGCTCGACCACAACACCCTTCCGCTAGCAGGCTCCGCCTTCTTGGCCGTCTCGCCGTCAGCTACGAGAAGAGCTCGCCGAAGTAGCTGCACCTTAAGCATTGCGGCTCAAACCGCGCTTATTTCTTAGTGGTATAAATGGGTCGGTGTACCTAAATCACGAGAGCTCATTACTGAGGGAAATTCGGAAAAGAAATCAAAAGTAAAATAGGAAAATGAACGAATGTAATAAATATATATTAGAGAATAAGAATCAATATAGAATAAAGAAGGAATCTCGCAGGAATTAGTCATCCACTCCGGAATTCAGTGACCTATCGGTTGCTGACATGAGGCCAACAACTGAAGTTAGCCGTCCGTGAAACTCGTCTGAACACGCTCCTCCTCCATCTTGGAGTTAAACACGGCTGGAGCGGTCTTGTTCGGGTAAAAAAAAATCCCGGGGGGTTTTTTCCCCTTCGTTCTGATTGCTGGACCACTAAGTACCCAAGCTTCATTATTGAACGCTCTCGCACGCCAGATTTGATTCTACAGCTCTCCTTTTCTCTGACGTTCTGTGGCTCCTTGAAATATGGCTTTGTTTCCATGTTGACTGGAGACAGTTTCCTTAGATCTCGATCAGAATATTGATACAGTCTGAGAACCACACCTTCAAGACCAACAGGATGCTAGAGAAAACCAAAACTTTTCTCTATCGATGGGTTTAGGCTGACTACATATAGTTCCCATTTGTTCATTCAAAATTGTTCTTTGAATGAGCCTCCTATGTAGAAAAACTAGAAGCACTCTAATGCTGTATGTTAGAGAATTACTTTTGCACTAATCTTGCTTCGAGAATGGTGTAGTGGCAAGTGGCACGCTTACCACGCGCGGTCCGGGGATCAAATCCTGGGTCGTGAGTCGCCCGGGCCAACCAAGCCTTCCATCCCTCCGGGGTCGGTTAATTGGTACCAGACTTGTCTGGGAGGATAAAAACACTGACTTGTACATCGGCTGGCCCCCGCAAGTCATTGTATAGGCCACATCGCATTCAAACGCCACTGCGAATGTACAAATGGAAGTAGAATGCGTGCCGCATCCCAAAAGGGATTCATTGATCAAATGCTTTATCCTTTATCCTTTTATGCCTTCTGGATCTGGTTGCCTCAATTATTCACAGTAGCTTGAATGCAGCCTGTCCTTAATGAGAGTCCATACATATTTACAGATAAGCAACATTTTCTCCACCGTATGGATGGCTCTTACGCTGTACTTTGCACGATCGATTTTCGGGTTGATTCCTTCGGTAATTGCTCGGGCTTAAATTTGTTTTTAAGTTTTGCAGAGAAGATTTAAGAACAATCGCGGACATTTTTACTCGCTTTCAGAGTGTTGTGGCAGCGATGATTCTGGCGACAGTTAGTGATGTCTGGTTGAATTTGAGACATTTGCGAGTGCTCTGCTCCTCGTATCTTTGCGATGCGGTGATTTGATTTATTGATTTGGCCGAAACTGTTAAAGTTTGAGCAGTTTTATCAATTTTATTCCTATTAAACGTCCTTAATTTCATTTACAGGTCATTTTTACATGTGCTCTGTTGTCTGCGCTTTTCATTCGCAATCTGATGCGGTGCGCTTTTCCGTTTGTGCGGTGGCCCACCTGCGTCTGCATATCATCTCGATCAGAACTCAGTGGTAAGCCGATGTTCGAAGAACAACCGTGCCACAAATTTCAACTTTTATGAAAAAAAAACGGTAATTACTAGTTTATACAAAGTATTTGAATTAATCGGCTGATTTTGCGATCGCGAAGAAATTCATCCCTTCCGATGAAAAATAAACAAGCTCTTTTCTCTCTTATTCTCCAAGCTCTGCTGTTCACTGATTTTTGGTGAGCAAAGACGAAAAACAAGTTGCATCGCAGTTGTACGATCTTATAAATCAACAGCAGTCAGGGTCATTGGCGCATGGGGAGATTTTCAACAATGGCGGTCTTTTGTGGTCTTTGATGGAGAGGTAGTTGAACTTACGAGGAAAGTGTTCCAACTTACCATGGATTTTCGAATTAGGAAAAAAAAGAGCCCGGAATTCCGGCGACAAATATGAAAAGCAAAATTGCTACGTGAATTTTTCGAAGGAACCGTGAGCGATCATGTTGGTCGTTAGGTGTAGCATTGGTATAACGCTAAAATGCGCGAGCCTATTTGCCGCCGGGTTTTTGATGCCGCTTCCGTTCGAAGGGGGGGTAGGCCAAAGAGGATACAAAATGTCACCAGAATCCTGAGTGGGAGTAGAATGCATGGCGCATCCTAAAAAGGGATTGATCAAAGTCGAACGTGTATCCTCGATAATTTACGAGTGATCTAGCGATCAGGAGCACTTGCCTAGCCAACGAGGACGTTCAATATGCAGTATTTCACTCTTTCCAGGCCAAAATGTGAGGTCGTCGTACGGGCTACTGAGAACTGCTTCATTGAAGAAAGCAGGTCTGGTTATTTGCGACCCGTCTTTAAGCACTTTTTTTTCTTTTTTCCGAACTCTACTCAGCAGAGAGGAGTGTAAGCGATTCCAGACTGTCGCACCGTCATCCCCACCTCGATCCATTTGACATATCTTTGTATTTCCAGGTATGAAAACGAAGGATCGGACAGTCCTTTACGTATACTTAGATTGACCTCACCTCTCGTTTTCATCAATTGCGAAACCATCCGAGGGGAGATCCACAAGCATGCTGCAGCTGTTAAAAGGTTAGTTTGACTTGTTCCTGACAACCTGGGGCGATGAAAGCGCATTCCCTCCTGTTCTAGCGTATTCGAGACCGGAATGGAAAGTCGAACGCCGTCGATGAGAAGTCAGCCACTCACGACACTTCACGAAGGTCCTTCTAGTCGGCCCAGAAACAGTGTTATCGTTATCACGCACGACTCCGACCTTTTGCAGGTTGGCTGTTGAATGCTGGTTCTCTGCTAAAATCTACTCGCAAATTTTCAGGCAAACCCTTCGGAGTCGTCAACGTTCAAGTACATCGTGCTTGATTGTTCTGGAGTCGCATATGTGGATCCTGAAGCACTTAGGATGCTTTCTCAGGTAGAGCTATTCAGATTGGGAAGTATTGGGAAAATCACGGATAGTGGGGCTAGCAATTGAATATGAAAGAGTTAGCTATCAGTAGGGAGCTCGGCTCATTCCTGCCGGGAGGGGGAAAAGTGGGGGGGGTTACTGTACTTTCGTGGGAAAGAGAACCCATGAGAAGTATGGCCTACATATCTCACTCTCACCACTCCGATACAAATACGATTGAATGATTTATATAAGCTAAGACTATCTGAAGCTACTTCTGAAACGATTTCAGGTGTATTCCGAGCTACGCGATGACAATATCAAACTACTATTTGCTGGTGTTAATGGTAGTGATCCATTTCCGGTTTCCGATTTCCGGTTCTTTGAATACACCAAAAATCACAATTAATGTAATAAACCTGAGTTTCAGCGACCGTTCGTGATTTCTTAGAAATCAGCAAGTTCTTCGATTTGGTTCCACGAAGCTATTTCTTTCCAACCCTTCAGGAAGCACTTGGATCACTCAGGAGCACGAACTTTCCGTTTCATATGAGGTTGAACGAATCTTCTAAAGTTTTCTGGAGTAGAATATTCCCAAATAACTTTTCGACATTCAGCGTATCGATGAATGGCTATCGAGACGTGATCACGCTGTCGACAGCACCGTCAAATCTGGACATATCCTGCCATTCTCCCGAGCCCGTATGAGCTCCGACTAGGATGGCCGTGAGCTTCAACGAAGCATCTCATGGGCACCCGGGAAGAAACAACCTAAGAAGTTTCGAAAGCTGCTTCAAAAGATGTTTCATTGTTGCTTGTATACAAATGTGTTTCTTTACCAAGTCAAAAAGAGGTCTCGTATGCGGACGCGTGCGGTCGCGGCGTGGCTGTGGTGGACGTGGAAATAGAGTTTTGGGAAATTGTCGAGCTTCACTTTCACGTTTTTGGCCACTCAGAATGTGATAGCTTCAAGGGAATGTTTTTGCGATCAATGTGTCCGAAATGCGACTGAAACAAAAACGTATCATAGGCAGGTGTCAGGCTTTGCGAAGATTCGGGATTTGAGCGGGGTTCGAGCGTTGCACCAGCGATTCTAGCTGTGTACCATCGCTGCGAAGAATGTACCAGTGACTC